TACTTTCCCGCCTTTTGCTTGCTTGATGCTCAAAAAAATCCATTTTATTCTTTAACGTAAGCAGAAGGCAGTGGTTTCCCCCGCTGCGTATTAGTGTTAACTTGACTCAAAGCCCAGCTGTTGTTGGATTGCCCTAATAAGTGTACGTAATGTTATTTATATCGACTCTCCAATTTAGCCATTAACCAAATAACTTGGTCTGTAGCTTTTTTTTGTTTATTAAGGCTTGATGTTCACCGTGACACAAGTCAATAACCGCTTCGGAGGCCTCGTCAAACGTGGTCCTCCCTTTGATGGGGCCCTGGCGCTGGTACCTGCTGGGGCTTGGGCTTTTCAGCCCAGCGCATCCCCCAGGTGGATGAAGCACCTGGTAATGGTCATGGGAGGCAATCGGTGCTTCTGGGTTTATTTGGATACATGTTTTTCTTGCTTGTTTCCCTTGTCCCTTTTCTTTTTCCTCCTGCTTTTATCGGGAGTACTCAACAACCTTCAGAACCAAAAAAAAAAAAGTCAGGAAATGTGTTTCCAACGCCACGGGATAAGATAAAACATCCCTTGTAGAAGGTCTGTTGCCCTCAAAAGTGGTGCAGCGTTAGGACACCTCAATCCTCCTTTCTTTTAAATCAGTCACGCGGCCGAGACTCAAATCGGTCACCAGCCGAACCGTGGGTTTGGCGCTAGAAACTATTGACCAACGAGAAGGGCAGTGGTGCAAAACCAGTTTAGATCATGGGAACTTACAGCCCAGCCTCGAAATGCCGAAATGATTTTGTTGGTGTATTCTTCTCGATTTTGCTGGTGTATTCTTCTCGATTTTGCTGGTGTATTCTTGATTTTGCCGGTGTGTTCTCCGCGATTTTGCTGGTGTATTCTTCACGATTTTGCTGGCGTGCTCTTGGTTTCGCAAAGATTTGGGCTGAAAGCTTCAGTTGAACGTTGGGGCAGGGGTGAGCTTGGAAGAGGAAGATAAAAGCTACTAAAAAAGGGATTATCGGTGCATCCCGGTGCACGCCGCAGTGTCCGTTCTCAGCTAAATGGTGGCTAATGTATAAGCCCAAGTCATAATGGGCCATTATCCTTATTTATACACTATTGTCATGACCACGTGGCTGAGACCCTCCTCTGGAATGAGCCAGCCTATGTAATGGAGTGATTAATTTATATTACTTTGCACTTCTCTAAAGTCTCCCTTTGGAAGAACTCAACGTGTTTTACAGTCACTAATTAATTTAATCCCCCAACAATATTCGCGCTGTAGATAAGTGCAGCCCTCTTTCCCCCCCCCCCCCCCCCTCGTTTCTTTTGGGTTTTTTTTTTTTTTGTTGTTCCCCCGGTAGAAACTGAGGCACAGCGATCCCATGGCTCATCCCAAGTTCCTCAGCTCCGGGTGAGCTCGGGTCGTGGGTTTCCACCTGGGAGCCAGGCGGTTTTTCCAAGGGGCGTTGCTCATTTGAAGAAACGGGGAGCAAATCCCGGTTCTCTCCCTGCGCCCCCGATAAGCGGGAATGTGGGATTTCCGATTAGAAGGTGATGTGGAATTTGTTCCTGTTTACAGCAGTCGTCTTAAGAGCGAGTTTAAAAAAAAAAAATAAAAAAAATCACTATCATCGCTAAGGAGCCCCGTCAAGTGATAAACCGCAACTTCTCAGAGAAGGGAAACAAATAAGGGAGGCATTTCTATTTCTGCGGAGGAATAGATCGTCGTGACTACTGTCAAAGGGTTTTCTCTGTAGCTGGCACTGGAAATATTTCTGCGAAAGAGGGGAGGTGGTTCGTAGCATGAAAAATAATAATATTTGCCATGTCACTGTCAGAAACAATTTAATGTAAAAGTAGTCGGAGGAGCGGGAGTTTGCTTGTCGGTTTAGAGACTTTGTTGACTTAAAAGTTCCCTGGAAGATAAAAAAACAAAAAACACAGAAAAGAGAGATGAGATGAATGTTATACTTGGCTCCCGGCTTTCGTGGACGGGGGAACTTTGCTGAAATAGTCAGGAGAAGAAAAATTACACTTGGTTTTGTGCTTTGGATCTCTCTTCCCTCGGTGGAGAGAGATGTTTTTGGAAGCGGGGCTGCGTAGTGTCTGGTTAAAAAATAATGCAGCTTTCAACGCGGTTATCTCGGAAGAATTTGCATATGAACTTTGATAGCTAATCTTTCATCATGTTTAATAAACTGACTAAAGATGTAATTCCTAGTCTCTTAAGACTTGAGATGCTTAGTTAAATACAAATACTTTTGAAATGCTAATAGACGGAGGCAGCCAGGAGAAAAAAAAAAAAAAAAAAAGAAAAAGGAAAAAAAAAAAGTTAGCGGTATCCCGAGCAGATTCGTTTTTAACAGGCCATAAAAATAATAGCTTAATAAAAGTGAGATTAGGTGGAAAATATTAACTCCTGCTTCTGAATGCAGAAATGTAAACAGCTAGGATGCACAAAATTTTGATAAACTGAGGTGGAATCCAACATTTCTTGCATGAGTGCCTGTATAATGTGGCGATA